TGTCATTTCCAGGTGGTTAGCATTTACATCCTGATTTCTGTAGCCATTATTTTCCTGTCTGGATGAGCACTGGTGACCTACACTGTTCCTCTTCCTAAACACATTTCGACAATTGCCAAACCAGTCAATAGTTGGGTAGTTACATTTTGTGATATTAGGCGTTGGGTGAAGTTGCTAGAAAAGGGTTTAGGTAAAGTTTTTACAAGGAAGAGCAATGAGAAAATCTCATACTCAAAATTTCTTTAAAAAAATTGCCCTACTGCTTTTTACATTTTAAATATGGAAATATGAAGGGCTGTTCATCTTTAGATCCATATGTATCGGGGGATGATGCGAAAATGGCTGAACAACCCACCTCGTCATGTTCGGATCGTTGTCTTGGTATAGTTTTTCACCACCTCTTACCTGAATAAGCTCCTAAAGCTTTTATCAGCTTCAGCTTTTTACTACTATTCATCCAAGGTACTACTAAGAATTTTCCAGAGGAATTTCCTAAAATACTGCTTTCATAACGTGTTTGCCTTGAATAAAAACTCCCACCAGGGAAGGGGTGGTTGAGGTGCTGGACTCCCACATGGCCAACTGCTGTTCGAGTCTTGCTTTCACACTTTCCTTCTTTCTCTCTGTCTCTCTCTGATGACTACAGTAAATTTAAAAAATAGCAATAATAATAAATAACTCTAAAAAAGAAAAAAAAGCGCCAATGGCTTCTTAGAATCTATCTTATCAAACCCCCATAAAATTTGATTTTAAAAAAATTCCTACAGGGCATGTGCACTTGCCAGAGAGAGTCAGAGAGACACAGAGAGTGGGTATTGCCACACCACAATCCCTTCCTCTCTATGTCTCCATCCTGTTGGGATTTAAGACATGTGTACACATGTGACTAGTGTTTCGCAAGCAACTGCAATTGGCCATGTGGGATCTGGCTCCCTTAACCACTAGGCTACAGGACTGGCCCCTTTGATTGGATTTTGAAGCCTTTGATCAAATTTCCAATTTTAAGTATTCAACCTAATTTTTGAACCCTCTCCACTATGCCTTTTCTTTGCTCTCTGTTTAATCCCAACCAAAAGCATTCTTCAAGCTCTCACTGCAATCTTACCTTTACTACCAGAATTATGTCATCTCTTCGAACTAGAAATCCCTACTGCATTCACGGCCAATACAAGTAAGTTCAACACTCCTCTTAGTCTCTAATTGCTTAGCGTTTCTCTCTCATTGTTTCATAACTATTCATGTTTTCTCTGTCATGTGTAAGATCCTGAAGGACAGTGGCCAAGTCCCATCAATCATTTAAGCCCTTTCACACATTGAGACCACAGTAAGCATTCAAAGTGCACATGCTGAGGAATGGCATTCTAGTCACGTGACAGCTCAGAACAAGAACTGAAGGGGCTCTTTGTTTCTCAAAGGAATTAGTAGACAAAAGCTAGCTCCTGGTTCTTCCAACTTTATTGGATTTCTATTGCAAGTTTATAGTGTATCAAACTCTGGGTCTTGGAATATAGCCAGAGATCTAGGCTTGAAGCAAGAAGAGCACATTTAATCTCCAAAAACGATTTTCCCAAGACCATACTGGCTTGGGGAACACATGGTTTAGACGTCAAGCTAAAATCATTAATAACACCTTCACTGTCCAATATGGTAGCTACTAGGTGCATTGGATACTGAGATGCAAAGTAACTAAAATGAAATAAAATACAGAATCGGACCTTTAGTCATATTAGCCATATTTAAGGTGCTCAGGGACCAGTCCTGTCTTAGTGAACAACACAGAGTAGCGAACAGTCCCAGCACCACAAGCAGATCCACTCCACAGTGCTGATGCTTGGCCCCAGCCTCAGCCACGTGAGCACCTTTCTACTTGGGAGGCTTTCTGCTTTCCTCCTTAAATGGTAGGATCAACCCTGGGAGGAGACAGAGGAGACGTCGCCTGAAATGTGGCTACTGAGGTGCTGAGAGGCCACACCATCCTACAGAAAACCCTGACAGACTCACCTTTAAGGGCAAAAGTGACAAATTAGATCTTCATTCCTTTGACTTGCACCAGACAGGGGCCTGGTCTCCCCTCTACTTTGTAAAGTGCTAAAAGGCCCAAAGGAAATGGCACGTTGAGGCCCAAACAGTTCAGTTTCCACCAGTGGATTGGGTGGGGACAGCATAAAGAAATGGGACAGCAGCTTCTGATAGAGGAAGAAGGGCCCAGCAAGAGACGGGCCTGGCCAGTGGCCTGTCCCATGGCCATGACCAAGTCCAGTCCTAGCTGGGTCGTTTGAGGACTGCGTGATTGCTACAGGCAGCAAATCTGGAAAACACCCAGGCCCAGTCATTGAAGTTGCACAAGCATCTCCTCAAAGAGTAAGTGGTGGATTGAGAGGGTCCTTCCGGGAATGCCCAGGAGAGTAGACGTGAGACCGGAGAGGAGGACAGTCTTCTGACTTAAACTACATACTTGAATATCTTCTTATCCCTCCTGTGACCCAACTCTTATTCCCATTACGAGGAAAAATCACGGAGTATAAAACCGGTATTTTACACCGAAGGCGCCCTTCTTCTCCTTCGTGGGGAACGGGAGTCCCTGTAGAGCAGCACCTGGAGCCTTGCTGTTCGTGACTGGGTCCAAAGGCTTAGTTTCACGTGACTTTCCAAGGTGACTATGTTGGAGTATAACATTTTTTAGGATTTAGGTATTTAGCACATTTGTTTTCAAAAATTTATTTTCTATTTTATGGACTCATAGTTCATGCTTGCAAACTAAAGCCAAACAGGTGGAATGTACTCTGGCATGTTGGCTGCCTATACTGCGTTTTCTGCCACTGCTCGTGCTGTCATGTCCCCCCTCTGGGCCACCCAGACCAGCTGCCGGATTTGAGAATTCTGTGCCCTGTAGTGGTATCAGGTTGTGAGTTTTATTCCCCAAAGAAACTACTTTGGGGCTTCTTTTCATTCTGTTTATCCCCTCTTTATAGTCATCATCTATTATATTTATAGTTTAAGTTGGAAGACTGTCCTTCCTTTATAAAATTTGCCTCTTCTCTGGTCTCACGTCTACTCTCCTGGGCATTCCCGGAAGGACCCTCTCAATCAACCACTTGCTCTTTGAGGAGATGCTTGTGCAACTTCAATGACTGGGCCTGGGCGTTTTCCAGGTTAGCTGCCTGTAGCAATCACACAGTACTCAAACGGCCCAGCTGGGACTGGACTTGGTCGCAGCCATGGGACAGGCCACTGGCCAGGCCCATCTCTTGCTGTGCCCTTCTTCCTCTATCAGAAGCTTCTGCTATATTTATTCTTATTAACAAACACACCTTGTGAAGTCATTCAAATTAGCAATGCATCCTCACATTGTTTAGGTAAGTGATAATGTAAAAATATAACATGCTTTGTTTTACAATCAGAAACAACGTAGTATGAGCGAGTTAATCAATCTGTTCTTTGTGAACAGGACAGCCCTGCTCCATGACTTATGAAAATGACAAGAGTGTTAGTTGGACTGTGAAGCAATTGAACAATGAAAACCAAAGAGCTCTAATTACAAATCACCATTCACCTGGGAGGAGGATCTCATGGCATAGCCAAAAGCTCTGTCCTTAGCCACATATTACCAAAGCCTTTTCTTCTTCCTTAAGATTTTTGCCATAGGGCATGTGCACTCACCAGAGAGAGACAGTGAGAGAGACAGTGAGAAATCATTCTCAGGGGAGACAGACACTCCACAGTCTCCTCTCCTGGGATTTTGAACACATATGCGCACCGCACACCCAGCGTGATTTTCAATCACTGGGTCTGGGACACATACTGCAGGGTCCTGTGGGAGTCTAACACCTTAACCACCATGCCACCTCCTGGCCCCCTGAAAATGTTTTTTAACTAATCAGAATGTAGACAGAGAAGTTATCAAGTTTTTAGATCACACAAAAATTAGAAAGGTTTTATGACAAGCAACTATTTCTCAAGTATGGGATGCTTATTAAATATAAAGAACCCCGGACTCCTTGGGTAGGGCTTGAGATTTGATTTTCTGCTGGTTTTGGTGATACATATTCCCATTAAATCTGAGACGTTCAGATTGGCTATTCAGAGGGACAAGTCCAATATACTCAACTTCCTGGACATGAATTTTGATCAACAGAATTATATCTCCCAAATAAAAATAGCGAGTCATGTCCCTGCCTTTTTATGGTGTAAACATGTGGACTTTGAGAGCAGAAGATAGGGAGAAACCAGGATGAAAAGGGAATCCGGAAGACATGGGGATCTTACTTGTAGGGAGGATAAAAGGTGGTGGCTGCTATTTTTTTTTTTCTTTTCCTTTTAAGACAGAGCCTTGCTGCATCAAGATCCTCATGCCTCAGCTCCCAAGGAGCTGAGAGCACAGGCACATGCCCCACATGAGGGTCTCACTGTGTTGCCCACACTGGGTGCAGACTAGCAAGGGGAGGTGGAGTCTTCAAAGATTCCTATTTTTAAAATTTGTTTATTTCTTTCATGAGCAAGAAAGACAAGAGACGAGAGAGAGAGAGAGAGAGAGAGAGAGAGAGAGAGAGAGAGCAATCCAATGGGGTCTCAATGTTGTGATCCAGTATCTCAATGCTAAGTCCAGTATACTCAGAGAGGTCTCCATATGTGGACCTAAAATATTCTCACGGGGACCAGCCTTGCAGTATCACATTTTACCACTGGCCCCAAGATGATCTTCCATCTGACAGCTGGTAAGCGAGTTTAACTTTATGACAGCACATTCTGTGTCCAACAGTATTTAGTACTTGGGGTTATAAATAAAATGACTAATTGATTTTGTCCGGACTTAAGTACGAAGTGTTCAATTCCTTTAGGAATCTGTAAGATTTACAGAGAACCTCTTGCATAGCTAAAAATGCCCTTCCAGTTGCAGGATGCTGCCACCACATAGTCAACGTCCTTGCCTTAGAGAAGTCTTCCCGGTGCCTCAGTGCGCCCCGACCCTCCCCGCCCCAAACGTGCACGCTGGTCCTTACCACAGAAATGGAGTTCGAAAGCAGCGCTCCATCCTGGCCAAGCATGTTGGAGACGGTGATCTCTGGGAGGTCCATGTTTTGTGGGTGAAATGGTAGCAGGCCATTGTGGTTTACCGGGTGGCACAGAGGGTGGTAACCAGATTCGACTTCGTTCAGGTGCACCAGCGAGTGGTCTGGGAGGGAAGGAGGGGTGATTGGTGGAATGTTGAAGTCTTCGCTTTCCAGGCTTGGACCAGGGTAGGACTGGAGAAAAAAAAAAAAAAAAAAAAAAGAGCGACATTATTGCAGATCATCATCCTCTTGTTCTACATCATTGGGAACAAACACACGAGCAGCATTATGGATTTGGCAAAGACATTTCCAACACTCAGATTAACTTCCTGCCACCACTCACTCTTAGGAATGCAGGAAACTTGCCTCACAGGCATGCTTACTTCTGGGGTAAAGACTGCTTCCATCGGGCATTTTATTTTTCCAAGAAGCTGAACTCAAACTGATTTCAAAGGTCCCATTTAAATGTTCCAGAGTTTTAATCTAGATGAATACCTTTTGAATGTGAATTGTGGGGAAGGAAGGCAATTTATAAAATTAATGTTTGATCAAACATGTTTCATAGGGCTCCCTACTGCTCAGATCATGAAATATAACAAAAAGGAATTCCAAAAGTTCTGGGGCAATTGCTTTTTGGTTTTCAAAAGCTACCTGCTCACAATTGACAAAAGAAAGTGCCATTGCTATTTTTATTACAAATATTTTATCATAAAAATAAAAGTGAAGATTACTTTCAAAATTTCTATTAACCTTTATTTGATTTGCCTCTAAAAGCTGATAAACGATATTGGAAGCATTTCAATTTACTTCATTCCATTTTAAAAGGGAAAATAATACTCATATTATTATAGTACTAATTCTGGAATAAAAGTCAACTAGTAAAATAAATAGCATTAACATACCTGGGGCTTTTTCTTTTACAGACTAAGGGCAAGTCTGTTTAAAAATGGAATGTGGTAAATGTCGAAAATGTAAGGAAGAAATGAAAAATGAAACATTGTTCCCACTTAATATCAAATACTCAGTGCTCTGCAGTCCTTTATAGAACAGGTGTCATAACATGAGAGAAAACATTTTGGCCCCGATTCTTGCTGGCCTATCTTTCAAATTAAGAGAGCTTTGGTAGTACTTGGGTGTGTGGGTAACAAGGATCCCTTGTCTAACAGAACAGGGCTGCCGAAGTGTGCCGGATTTGAAGCAAGCAGGGCAGAGGGCAGGAGCCAAGGAAAGTAGTGTAAGGTATTCATTGGGTGTTCAGCCAGGAAGCCTCAGACTCCAGCGTCCAAGTGCCTGGGGCTATTTTTTCCAGATGGCGTCTATTTGTCTAACAGAAATAAAATCTTCAAGTTGCACTTGCTAAATGTTGTACAAGTTTTGATATATTTATTTAGGTGCTGACTGTCAGAAGACAAGATTAAATGAAGAGCTACTGGAAACATCTGGAATCTAGACCTAGTCATGAAGAGGCACATGTGGGTTAGAGACTGAGGGTCTGTGAAGAGAAGATGTCATTCATCCTTGCAGATCATTTTTCTGAAATATCAAAGGTTCTGTTGAGCAAAAATCAAACAGGGCTACGCAGTGCCATGGTGATGAAGGGGGCTGGATCATACATGGCTGACTGTGTGGTTCGACTCCTGGACCTGATGGCTTAAAAAATACACTGGGCTGATGTGCGTGTGTTCTCAAATCGTGAGAGGAGAATGGAGGGGAAGGGATGCAGCATGGCCATTTCCAACCTCACTACCCCCACATTTCTCTCTTTCTCTCTCTGTGTGTAAAATAAAAAAGGCCCACTAGCTCTCAAAATTCAATCGCCTTTTACCAAAATCTCTTGTTAAAAGTATACTGTACATATATCTCCTGCTTGAAGAGTATTTTAGTGAGCTCTATAAAATCTATAAATTTAACTAAAACTCACACTTGCCTGGTATATTTTCTATTTCTACTCATCTAAGTCATCAGTTCCTTGTACAAGTATTGACATAAGACGCAGCATACAAGGCCTCCCCGGGAGGTGGGAGAGAAGCAGCATATTCGCTCATGGCTGTTTCAGACCCACACAGTATCAGGTCTTACAGCTTTTGACTCCACTTAAGTCTCACCATAATTCATTGTGTAGCTGTCAGCTCCATTTTCCTGAAGAGAAAATGAGGCTCAGAAGTTACATAACATTCTATTTCACTTAGCTACTAAAAATGATCAACTCGGTATATATGAAGGATGCATATGTAATGGAAGAAGGCCTTTTATTGTTGTGGTCATCGCATAAGTAATTTAATTGCTCCTATTTTATTAGGTTACATAATATGAAATTGTCAACACCCAACTCTTTTTGATAAACAAAATTTCGTAATTTAAGATTGATTATTAGCACTAGTACTGGGTCTTTTCTTGTGTCAAATTTCACCCCAATGCCCACCCACTGAAATGAAATATTTACTTTATATGAACATAAGAATTCATCATTTGCCTGTCAACATTGCAAATGCGGAATTGCTGATACATTATCTTTTAAGAAGTTAGTAAGTGCCTGTTTGAAACTTTCCTGAATAAGGTACAATTAATGCCAGCAATAAAGAGAAAAGATGCTTTTAATTTTAGAAATGCCATTAAGCTGCTGAAAATAGGAAGAGATATTCTACTATAGTATACCATGACTTTACATTCTAGAGTTTCTTCAGTCGTTAAATCTTAATTTGTGGTGTTTTAAAGGAAGGTTTAATTGGTATCACTTTACATTCAGTGATAACAATTGTACTGCAATTTAACCAAGCTACATGGTTTATTTTCATGTAATTACACATGAATGCTATTTAATCCATGTAATTATATCCCCAAACCACAGATTCCACAACTTAACCGGTAATGGGTAGTTAGGTGGATCAAGAATTTTAACAACATAAAGTTACTCGGTCGTTTCTGTTCTTTACATTAGAAGTCACAATATGGTTATTTTCCATGAGCCTATTATGGTGTAATTGATGCCACAGAAAAGTATAGTGGTAATTGTACAAATGTCGAAATGTCCCAGAACTTACAGAAAGTTCAATACCAGACAAATTACTAATTATTTTTAATGCAGAAATGAATTAGCTAATTCTTCAACATTGATTTCTATGACATGACACTTTTATTTTGTTTTCTAAAAACTTAATAGGAATATATTTAACTTAAGAACAGTAGGTTTTATATTATAGACAATTTACAGTTTAGGGGGATATAGTACAATAGGATATGATTCAATATTTTCCTTTATTACCCACGAAGCTGACGGGGTAGAATTGGTGTTCAGCGTTTGTTAAAGGAGTTAACAATCAATCACTAAATGAATGCATGCACACTTGAATGAATGCATGCTAAACGGATTCTCTCAAGGGACGAGGCCCATGAATGTGACACTGCCATTCTGTGGACTGGAATAAATATCTTGGATTCCGAAGACAGCACTGACCAGCTGACAACACAAGATGTAACATTAAGCTCACAGAGCATCAGGAACCCAAACAATCCTGCTTGTGGAGGAAAGGTTTGAGCTCCTTGAGGAAGATGGGACAGAGCAGTTGAGGTTCCCCTCTGGCTGCTTTTCTGGTCCTCTGAAGAGTCTAATCCTGCCAACCTACAGTGACACAGAGAGTTCAGATCATTCATAATGAGAACGTGTGGCCCTGTGGCTCTCAGGAGCTCTTAAGCTTAATATTCCCTGCAGGCAGGATGTCAGGACTCCTTGGGTGACAGCTAGGGCCCATGAAGTAAGGTCACAGCACAGTTCCGATGCCATGCTTGGCCAACAGCGAGGGCCTGATTAGACAAGTGGGCCCGAGGGAACGTTGATCACAGGAACAGGAACCTTGATGAGGAGACCAGGGCTGAGTAGGTAATGCTGTTTCTTGGTGACACAAGGTTCCCACTGTACTTGTCTCCTGACTTGGGGTCCTTTTCTGACTCAGGTTGATTTCCCTCTAGCAATTTTCAGTGGGACATGGAGTTAAATGGCTCATTTATCCTCCAACCCTCTTGGGAATAAAGAGTGGGTGATCCATTCTTTTTCTTTTAGAGAGAGAGATTTTTGCTCTAGGGAGCCAGGAGAGACAGAAAATGAGCAATCATCCCCTAGGGGGGGTGGCCACATTGCAATCTCTTCTCCTTCATTCTCCTTTTGGGACTTTGGGTACGAACACGCCGCCGCTGGGACCAGGACTCAAACCACGGTGGACTATGTGCAAGTCCAGTGACAACCATAATGCCATCTGCTGGTCCCCGCGTGATCCTTTCTAAGAGGATTTCTATCCCTATAAGAATTACATCTTATTTAGCCTGAATTAGAAGCCACGATGGGGTGAATCCCGTGTCCTCCAAGGCTCCATGGGCTGAGTCCCAGCGTAGACTGCTGGGGGGGACAAGTAGGGACTGTCAGGGTGGTGTCATCTTCCTTATCACCTTTCAGCAAGCCTGTTCCCAACCCCAGTCTCGAGATCAGACTTAACGGTAGCCTTAACTATACCTCCTCCTTAGCTGCCTCCTCCGCAGTGAATGATGAAAGTCAGTGGTAACCATTTACGCAGATAAAGAGAAAGTGTCTAGGAGTATTTTGGGGTGAAATTCGGGCCAATGCTTTTAATTTTATCTTAGAGCTTCATCATATTAACTAAAGGTATATTGGAAACAAAGAAGCATGAAAGTGATTTGGTCTAAACCATTGCTAATCCACATGAACCAAGGGGGTCAAAGACATCAAAATTGCATTGTTGTTACTTAAGCGATTCTCCCTGATCTTAAGATACACCCCGATTATGGACACAGAGAGTTTCACCATGTTGTTGGTGCTGGGGCAAGTACTTCTCTATCCTTTCCTGTTTTTTATTTTGTATGAGAGAGAACATACATGTATATATGAGGGGGTGACGTTTTGACCATTGAGGTGCTCCACCCCAGTTCTGCAGCTTCCCCTTAGCTAGAATCACAGGCATGCATTCACACCTGGCCTGCTTAGGTTGGTCCAGGATCCAAACCATGGTCTTCCCTGTGGCCCAGCTTCACACAGTGGTGCTCTACCGCTTGTGCCACTGTGGCTGGGCCATTACCCCTTGATTCTAGTGTGGGAGGCAGGGTGCAGTCCTTTGTGCCAGGGAGAAGAAGCCAAGTGCCACTGAATGTAGGCTAGGGTGGGCCATACTGGCATGAAGCTTGGC